CATGGCTCCTTTTAGTCTGAGAGTGAAGTTCACGGCGGAAATACGTGCAAATAAAGTCGGTTTGAACGCCACCAAGAAACCCGCTGGAAGAGGGCGTCGTCTCGGTGGATCCAGTGGCTTGGGGCTGAATCGGATGCTCAAGCAAGGAATCCACCAGGTGATGCTGGCTGGTGGCTTGAAGCCCTTCATGAAGAGTGGTTTGGCGAAGGTGAAATCCAACGTAAAGAAAGTGGCCGTGGATTTGCTGGAGATGGTTGCTTTGGGAGTCCTGTGCCCAGCTGGGCTGCCAGTAAACATCGGGCTAAGTGTCGCGCTCAATGTTGAAAGGACTCCCGAAGTTCATAGTTATCCCTGCAGAGACTGCGGGAGAGACTGTACGAAAGGGTCGAATCCCCTAGAGAAAAAAGACCTCCTGGTAGACAGAGAGAAACTAAGACACTATTAAAGTTACCATCTTTGAGCTGATATTTACAAGGGATCATTTCTCTATTTTAGTAAAGATATTTTGGTAGTTGGAGATTAGTGTTAGTTCATTGTATATTTTAAGAATTGTACATTTTATGTCTTAATAAAAGTTTACAATTTTAAAATTAGTAGATTTTAAATGAATTACTCAATATGGTTTATGTAGATAAATAATTGAAACAGAATTGGTTAATGTTTCTTGCAAACAAACTATATATAATACACAAACATACTGGAAAATACAGATGACTCTTTGTCCATACGAGGCAACTCCTATCTATATCCACCCAGCCTCGTTGATATTATTATTATTTATACTTATAAAATATGCATAGGTATATGTTGGTAGTTAATTAATAATGTATATACATTGTATGTTAAATAAAGCAATGTATTGTGGTCACAGTTACGCTTAAAACAATCCAATGATCCCACCTTAAATATCCTGTGCCTCTTCAGACTATAATATCCTTACGTGCTTAATGTATTGGTTTTACCTTTAGGTCGCAGCTCAGTCGCTAGTCAAGAGCAAACTCTACAGCCAAACATAATTGGCGATCACTTATATTCTCGTCTTGTAAACATACTCAACTTGGTACCTCAGCCAGCCCCTCTAGTGGGCAGTGTAAACACTTCTATAAGTCATTGTTGGCTCGAAGCACTCGTGTAAGTGCTCGGGACAGGTAATGATACAGAGGAGCTTGACGTCTGCTTCTCATCCACTTAAACGATAATTTTTTTAAGGGAAGTAATTGAATAATTAGTTTTTCGTCAAATTCTTAAGACTTATGAAACCTGTTCAACTTTCCTTAAATCATGGCGGCTTTGTTTACATTTATTAAATAGTTTGAAAGTTTGGCAACATCACCAGCGAAGATTGTTATAAACTCTCTCTAATAAATGAAGCCGCCATGATTGTTAAAATTTATACAGGTTTCGTAAGTGGTTGCGTAAGTGTTTAATGAATCCTAGTCCAGGACGGCCCGAGTCGTCGTCATATATGTACTCGCCTAATTGTGCTTGCGGGGGTTGAGCTCTGGCTCTTTGGTCCCGCCTCTCAACCGTCAATCAACTGGTGTACAGGTTCCTGAGCCTATTGGGCTCTATCATATCTACACTTGAAACTGTGTATGGAGTCAGCCTCCACCACATCACTTCCTAATGCATTCCATTTGTCAACCAGTCTGACACTAAAAAAGTTCTTTCTAATATCTCTGTGGCTCATTTGGGCACTCAGTTTCCACCTGTGTCCCCTGGTGCGTGAAATGCACTATATATGTGGATTGTGTTGTGTGCTTCACAGAGACGGCACCACTCCCGTGCCAGGTAAGTCCACTACGGGCTCACCATAGCCCGTGCTACTTGGAACCTGTTCCGAGTAGCTGAATCTATAACAACGTGTGCTTCAGCCTCGAGACTGCTTCTCTATGTAATGAACATGTTGATTAATTTTTCACGTCGCCTTCAGAAGACCATCTGCAGGAAATACAGGCACTCGCACACCGTCATATCAGTCAGGTCTCTCAATTTGCCACTCGGTAAAACGTCCAACAGTTTTGCCTAGCCTGAAACGTAAAAAAATACGTAGGAACCCAAGCAACACAGAAATCACAATTACGTGATGCATCAAATGAACAAATCAAATGAAATGCATCAAATGACTATGTCGTAGCTCAGTCGATTAAGGCAGCGTCTGGGATGCTCTCGGACGCAGGTTCGAATCCTCGTCACGGCTCTTGTGGATTTGTTCAACCCAAGCATCTTGTCTCACATAACTAAATCGATGCATAGAAAAACAAATCACACACGCACACCTTTCCCTACACGATTGATTAAGATTAAGCCAACCAAGAGGTGGCACGGGCATGAATAGCCCGTAATTCCCTACACCAGAATGACGTTCTAATTATCTGTAACGGACAAACGGGCCAAAGCGGTGTGAACGAGAGAGGTGGAGCGGTCACACCGATGAACAACTCGTCTTGCGACATTCAGACGAGGGGAAGCCGGTCAGTTCGGCCCCTCCTCACATAATACGTCGCATTTGTTTACGTAATCAGGCAATCCGTTACAAATCTGACGTATTAGTAAGAAATGTAGCACCGTAATATTAATGTTTTCCATGCATCTTCCTCGAAGAGTTCGGTTAGTTACTTGGGTTCGTAAGTTTCTGGTTAAGCAAAAGAGTTGCATTTTTTACAGTGATAAATCGAGAGAAGATGCTGATCCGTTGAAGTTAATTTCTTAACCAAATTACTAGTCGACCAAAGGAAATATATATATAACATTAACTTGCACAAACACGCAAGCCAATTATATCAGAAAGAACTCCTAACGTGAAAGGTTCAAACCTAGACTGACAGGAGCAATAAAACTCCTTGACAAGTCCAGTACTCTGACCCAATGGCTACTAGACTGCACCCGAACCCAACCACTACCACCCGAAGGACCACTACTACCCGAAGGACCACTACTACCCGAAGGACCACTACTACCCGAAGGACCACTACTACCCGAAGAACCACTACCACCACCACCCAAAGGACCACTACCACCACCACCCAAAGGACCACTACCACCACCACCCAAAGGACCACTACCACCACCACTACCAGCACCAACAAGATACCAAGGCCCTACAAATCAACTCAGAGCCACACCTTAGTGACGTGGGCGAGCCAGCCCACGCTCCGCCCAGCACCTACACTGCTCCTCCATCTGGGTCACCCTGCCTGAACACCTCGCAGGCAGGCAGGCAGGCAGGCAGGCAAACAGGCAAACAGGCAGACAGGCAGGCAGACAGGCAGGCAGGCAGACAGGCAGGCAGACAGAAATACTTCTAGATAGGCTGCCTACCTTTCTGGTTTATTGACTATCTGCCTTGAGTATGTACCTAAACACAAGATATTTCTCAAATAAGGTTCCGCCACATTACCTTATCATCAGGTATCCTGAGTATAATTGTTTATACTCAGATCCTGAATATAACAGATAATCTATCCTCTCAGGGATTAGTTTAAGTGGCAGCAAATTAACGAGCGTTAATCATTAATTCATAATCTCTACGTTACTGTATTACTCGTGTAATTAACTTGCAATTATTATGCATCTGTTCCTGATTTACCGCTCCGTAAGAAATGCAACTTTCTTGTCTAATTATATAATGCTTAATGGTCCGAAAAAGCGTAAATATTACGGTGCTTTGATTGTCGCCAATACACCGGTATTTTGACGCAGTTGTCGTCAAAAATAAGGTGCGTCAAAAACAAGGTGCGTCAAAAATAAGGTGCGTCAAAAATAAGGTGCGTCAAAAATAAGGTGCGTCAAAAATAAGGTGCGTCAAAAATAAGGTGCGTCAAAAATAAGGTGCATGAAATCAGTAAACAACCCGTATAAACGTCGTATCCCACAGGATCCAAATAACCATGACATGTAGGGCGAAAACTACACATGATCTTGGTCGAGTATGACCTCTACCGACTCCCTTACTGACCATTATAGGGCTCGACTCTCACTGCCCTGCTTGCACGGGGGGTCGTGGAACACGCGTGGGTGAAGAACACATGAGGATAACAGACTGGAGGAGAACACGCGGGAAGAACAGTGGGAGAGGAGAATACGCGGGAAGAACAGTGGGAGAGAACACGCAGGAAGAACACTGGGCGGGAGAACACGCAGGAAGAACACTGGGCGGGAGAACACGCAGGAAGAACACTGGGCGGGAGAACACGCAGGAAGAACACTGGGCGGGAGAACACGCAGGAAGAACACTGGGCGGGAGAACACGCGGGAAGAACAGTAGAAGGGAGAACAAACGGGAAGAACAGTGGGCGGGAGAACAACATATAGGAAGAACAGATTGTGAGAAGAACATGAAAAATCGGTATATTCTAATGTAAATAAATAATGTTATATATTAGTATCTGTTGTCTAATTAGACCTAAATTAGAGCAGGGCAGGTGATTAGGTTCTGTTGGCTTGTATGGTTGTCTGCGTTAATCATTGGCAGAGGTGATTCGAACAGAGGACATCAACGAAGCACTGTTCGAGAAAAGTTCGAACGTCATCAGTTGTGAGTCGTAAATAATGTGTTTTTCATTCATAAAGACGAGGGAATTGCTGGCTTGATTAACAACCAATGATTATAAGGAGAAAGTGAAGAGAAACACGACCGTCTTCTTTGCCCAAACTCTGTATTCCAAGCTCATGTCAGGTGTTTCAAAAGCTCACTGTGTCAGGTGTTTCAAAAGCTCACTGTGTTAGGCGTTTCGAAGCCTCATTAGTAGTCAACGAAGACTCGGGTGCGTCTGTTGATAAAGCATAACACAATGTGAATTATAGACAACTCATCAGAATATGGTTAAAAATGTTTTACCGCCAAAACTTATAATAAGGCACAAAAACATGGCGAGAGCTCGCATTTTGTGAGGCTTCTTGCTCGAGCCGCACACTCACACACCGGCCGCACACTCAAGTCCAATTTGGCGCGAAAATTTTTAGTCAGGTTGGTAGACAGATTCGGCGGTCAGTTGTGTCTGGCAGCAGTCGTGAGTCTTAACGGGTGTTGTTTATGTTTTTGAAATGATAATTTGAAGTTATTAGTTTCTCGTGTTTTCAGTTGTACTGGGCTGTAGTACAGTTTTTGGCAAGTGTCTACAGATATATTTGTGTAATTGACTCTTTACAGTACTTGGTTGTATGTAATCTTGTGTTACAGTTGCATGTTGTTTGACTTTCGAGTTTCATTAACTTTGTACTAGACTTTCTTAATTTGTTTACATTCTAAACTTTATTTTTCAGTTTTGGAAAATTCATCCGGTGGGTCTTTTAAAATTTCGTGGCGCTCTGCACTGAACTATGGCTCCAGTTAATCTCCACCTGAAGACTGCCTCCAGAATAGCTCGTCACGTGGCTGAAGTAGCAATAAAAAAAATATCCAAGAACACTATCAGGAAACCCGCCGCAGTTCGACGTCGTTCAGGCGCGTCTAGCGGCTGTGGTTTGAAGCGTGTGGTTGACCACGCAAAGAACATAACGCCCCTCCTGAAGAAGGGACTTGCCAAGGTTAAACGCGATGGAATAACAAAAGTGTCAAGGGACTTTGTGCAGATGGCCACTAGGGAGATTCTAGGCGTGTATTCCTCTGGGAGAACTTTAGCCGTGACGCTAGGTGGTTCCTCTAGTGTAGTGACGGGAGACACTATAGAGGGGAACACAGACTGTGTACCAGAGGAGTGCGGGACGGATGAAAACTCTAATTTCACTTGCGTAAATACAAAAGGTAAGTTACCACTTGATATTCGGTTAAAATGGTCCCATAATTGTGAAGTATTGTAGCTTCTTAAACTCGCTCCCTTCTAGCATGTCCTCTGCTCTAGTATATTTTTTCAAATTTATTTTGTAATTTCTTGTACGTAAGGAAACGTTTCTAATGTATATAGAAGCGGAAAAAGTGTAAATTCCTTGTAATCCGAAACGGCTTGGCTCAAACTCGGGTTGCTTGGTTAAAATGGTTTACGCTTAATTAATAAACTTCTATAGAAAGATCTTGGTAATATGCCGTTAACTATGAAATTGCCAAAATGGTTAAACTAATTTGTATTCTCAAAACTAGTTTAATCTACTCTCGATGAAGCACTGGATTTAGCTAGTAAATGCCTAGCTTTTGCATATTGCCCAGTTTTGATTAATATCTAAATACCAATGCAGTAACGTTTTGAAAAAAATCTTATCTAAAATGTTTGTATTAAAATGCCTAAATACCTGCACAAATTAGCACATTCGTAAATTTAGCTTGATACAGTATAGTTTTAATAGCAATGTTGGTACTTGAAATTCTAAGATGGCTTAAAATTATCTACGCAAAGGTTCACTGATAACTATTTTTTGTCCTAATAAGGTAGTTGGACCTATCAATAGGAAAAATTGCATTGAAAATGGTCCACAATAATAATAGTTTCCCGAAAGTCCTAGAATTCAAACTTCACACTGTTCTAGCAAAGTGGTGTATCTCCCTCATGGAGCCTAATAAAATGCATTCTTAATGGCACTTTTTTTATTTAGATACGCACAATTGTTAAAGGTCTCTTCAGTAATTGCACAACTTACCAGAAGCTGTTGGCGAAGTAACTTATTTATACTCAAACTAGAAATTGGAGAATTATTTAATAGGCTAGAATATTACCGGAATAACCTAACCTTGTTTCCTCAGGGCACGTGACCTATTGTAATGACGTGAGTCTCCTGGTCCCAGAACGGTCTCCTCTTCCCCTGGAGTCTCCTACACTGCCCTGGAAGTCTCCGCTACCCTGCGACTCTCCTCTACCCTGGCGCAACACGGGGAGACTCCAGCTCCGGCCCGGATCACCACAGTTTGAAGATTGCAATTGATCACAACTGATCCTTCTAAATGGTTTTAATTTTAATTTAATAAATTTTAAAAGTTTTAAGTGTCGTATTAATCTAGTCCATTATTGTAATCGCTTGTAATTTACCATTTAAGCTAAACGCGCTTAAAGAGTTTAACATATTTGCAACGGCCCTTGCACACTACTTCTGTGTAGTTAAATTTAACATTGCCTTGACCTATTGTACACCAGTGATGGTAAGCACCTACTGGTGGAAGAGTTAAACCCACATTAACCTTTACTCCAAGCAGAGCTTGGTAATTGTCTTATGAACATAAAGCCGATGCCTCCTGCTTAACTGGGACAAATGGTTTCTTCATTGTCTACTTCATGAAGTGACTGGATTAAGAAAGCTGCCAAGAAGAAATCCAAGCTCTGTAAGGGGGACATGAAAATACTTAACCTGGCCATCTCAATCCATCTCAAACCTGTACTTAACCAGTCGCCTTAAATCCATCTCGATCCTTAGAGAGGGATTGAGCTGTCAATTATAACATGACCCTCCAGCGGTGTGGTCCTTGCTGTCTCCAGCAATACTTTAAACCCAAATACAATGGTTTAGATCAAATGGGCACAAAATTAGGTTCCCAGACTCTGCCGTCTTTGCGGGTTGTTCTTGCCCGTGCCCCCTCTTAGAGTGGCTTAAGTCTTCAATAAATTGTTCTGCCCTTGGGCATAATATATAAGATTGTTCAGACGAGAGGGCCAGACGCTTGTGGTTAGCCCCGCAAAATATTTTCAGGCCAAAACACTGTCAGAGGATGATTAGCTGCTCAAGGTAGTCTTGAAAGCCTTTCTAAACTCTTCCATGAAATGGCGAATTACACCTCTAAATGCAGACTCCATCCTCGTATTCATCAAACATTTTTGAAAAATAAAGGAACGAACAGTCCTTTGATCAGGACGGGCTTTTGTATTTGCAGTACGTGGGTGATTACACCTGGTGGCACTGTTCGTACAATGAACAAAGCCCCGCTCAAACGTCCCCACTAGTGTCGGTGGGTTTGGTGGCTATATTATTAACCAGCATGTGTGGTACCCAAGGAAGGGCTGCGATAATATACATGCCGTTATCACTAGTCTTGCGCGTCTCTTAGATAAGTGGTGACATGGTAGTCGACATGTGACGTGTTTTACACGTGTAGATGACAAGGATTATCCTGGACCTGTCTTGGACCGGACGGGGCACTTAATCTGTCTAGCGCCTTCCGTCTGTCACACCTGACAAGCATCGCTCGTGGTCTAGGATGCCCCACTGATACAATATCCAAAAGTGGTGTCGATTCGACGTTGAATCGACGTTGGTCTTTAATATTGTGCCCATTAGACGCGGGACGAGGACAAATGACGTTGATTCAACGTTGTCAACGTTTATTCAACGCAACTCTGTTTTGTCCACTTGGTTAGAACTTGACATTCCTACAACCTTGTAGCAACGTAACAGTTGTGGTTGTCTGCTGGGGCGACATCACGGCCAATAACGTTACAGCTTCCAAACGTAACTACAAACGATGAAATAGTTTACACCATACCGTCGGGGATTCGTTGACCATATACGTAATGGTCGACGAATCCCCTGGCCCCTTGCGAAACCTGTACATCTTTCCTCAATCATGGCGGCTTTGTTTACATTTATTAGACTGCTTAGTCACAACTCGTTATTGTTAGATAACCTCGTACGTAGTGCTAACGATCTCACCCTTTCGTCAATGTAAACAAAGCCGCCATGATTGTGGAAAGATGTATTGGTTTCGTTTAGTGGACATGTAAATGGCAAATCCTGGTCGTGAGGACGTAATCTCAACCATCACCTTATCTTGGGACACATTCCAATCATTTTATCAGTTTGAGTGACACGCCGAGGATAACAGCTCCCACGCATAGTCATCAGCTAACTACTCAACTGCTAGTCACGTAACTATCCTATCATTTTTATTTATTTTTGTTATGGGGGGACAGGAAGCGTGTGTGTGTGTGCATATTTTAGGTTTGTGTTGAGGTCCCCCACAAGGTGGACCTACTGACCTTCACTCCAGAATGTAACCCCACAACAGTTGCCTAAGTCCTGCGTACCTATTTACTGCTAGGTGAACAGAGGCATTAGGTGAAAGGAAACGTGCCCAATCATTTCTATCCCTCCCGGGATCCCCAATTGTCAGTAGAGAACGATGGAAACTGTATTACCAGACGTTAAGGTCTTTTATGAAAGGTCAAGTTCGATATATTAAGGTCTATCACAGGACAAGTTCCCTACATAAGGTTCCTTCTCATTTGTGAGGAGAGACAGCAGCGAACACACCTGTAACACAACCCTGTAACACAACCCTGTAACATACAACCCTGTAACACAACCCTGTAACACAACCCTGTAACACAACCCTGTAACATACAACCCTGTAACACAACCCTGTAACATACAACCCTGGCACATGCAACCCTGTAACACAACCCTGGCACATGCAACCCTGTAACACAACCCTGTAACATACAGCCCTGACACATGGGAATGTCTTATATCAATTAATCATATCACATCAATTACAATGACCTTCTAGGACTGTGTACTTCCACACAAGCCGTGATAAGAGTATCAATACTCACACGTTACTCACCATATCCAGTCACTTTGTATACATTATCGGCCTCGTTTTTTCTGCGGGTCGGCGTTCAATCCCCGATGATCTATTAGTGGTTACAGGGCATCGTTCTATCCCAGAGTCTATATCTTGCCCTCTTGGCCCTTCCATGTGTGGTATGGTCATACAGATCATAACATTATGCCATATACTTTAACGACAGCGTGTGTACGTCGTTGTATCATGTGTACGTGGCTGTACTGTGTGTGTGTACGTCGTCCGACCTCGTGTGTACACCAAGGAGGGCAGATCTGGTGACATTTACGTGCTTCCTCGGAGGCCAAAGATGAGAGGCAGGGTGACCAGGACGTGTGTGTTTACTAGTTGTGTTTACTAGTTGTGTTTTTACGGGGGTTGAGCTTTGCTCTTTCGGCCCGCCTCTCAACTGTCAATCAACTGTTTACTAACTACTTTTTTTTTTTTTTTTTTTTTTTTTTCTCTCTCCACACCACACACACACACCCCAGGAAGCAGCCCGTGACAGCTGACTAACTCCCAGGTACCTATTTACTGCTAGGTAACAGGGGCATTCAGGGTGAAAGAAACTTTGCCCATTTGTTTCTGCCTCGTGCGGGAATCGAACCCGCGCCACAGAATTACGAATCCTGCGCGCTATCCACCAGGCTACGAGGCCCCTTGTGTGTGTGTGTGTGTGTGTGTGTGTGCGTGTGTGTGTGTGTGTGCGTGTGCGTGTGTGTGTGGGTCTAGGTGTGGGTGTGAGCGCGCGTGTGTGGGTCTAGGTGTGGGTGTGAGCGCGCGTGTGTGGGTCTAGGTGTGGGTGTGGGTATGTGTGTGTGCGTGTGTGTCTGAGTCTAGGTGTAGGTGTGGGCACACTCACCTAGACGTGCTTGCAGGGGTCGAGTATTAGCTCCTGGCCCCGCCTTGCCATCCCAGGCAACGCCTCGGCTCAAACGGTCGCTAATTAATGTCCGCACGAGACGTTATCACGTGGCTTCACCCGCTTCTAAGTCTACTCCATTAAACTAATTGACAGCTCCAGCGTGGACCATCTTTCTGACACCGCTGTGACTAATTTACCTCTCTTGATTCCATCACAGTTCTCTTGTTCTGCTGCCTGAAGCTTCCATCATAGCTCCCTTGTTCTGCTACGTCGTGTATATGACGTAGTCCAACACTGACGTCACAAGACCTGGCTCAAAAACATGTAGCTGGGAGAACAGGTCGGGACGGGGCGGCCGCATGGCTACTTTCACTTGTGTAGAGCGATGTAATTATGGCGCGTCCTGGACACCTCTGAGGTCTCTTGCGTTCTTCTGGTCATCCCCTGCGCAGTTCTGGGGGATCCTGCGCATATCTGGCGTCCTTTGCGCACCATGTTCTGCTGCCTACGCACATTTGTTGGCTCCTGCGCACACGTCTGGCATTTCCTGCGATTTTTCTGCCCTTCTCTGTGCACCTCTTAAGTGTTCCTGCGCAGAACTGGCGCCTCCAGATGTGCACAAGAATTTCTACGAACCTCTGGGCATTTCTGCGCACCACTGACGTCTCTTGCACATCTTCGGTTTAGCATTATCTGCAGACATTGAAGTAATTATCCAAAGAAGGCGCCAAGCCGGAGAGACTATGCAGCACCTCCAGACATTGTAATGAAGAAGCCAATATTCTCCACCAATAAGCCAATATTCTTATCTTATGATAAGATAAGAATGTGTCAGGATTAGCTCCAGCGCCTTGTGGTACTCCGTCTACTGACTCTACACTCTTATATCTCCCGTTATACTTTTGATTTAGATTTTTTTATGCAGGTTTAGATACATACATTGAAGATGAGTTACAAACATAATGTTGGAATTTAAAGATAGAGATAGTACATATAATACCTAAAGCCACTAGTATGTATAGCGTTTCGGGTAAACTTAGACTGTTCATTCACTCCTTCTACATATGTCTACCCTCGTTGTCTATCCTCATATCCCAGGTGTTAGTCTATCCTCATATCCCAGGTGTTAGTCTATCCTCATATCCCAGGTGTTAGTCTATCCTCATATCCCAGGTGTTAGTCTATCCTCATATCCCAGGTGTTAGTCTATCCTCATATCCCAGGTGTTAGTCTATCCTCATATCCCAGGTGTTAGTCTATCCTCATATCCCAGGTGTTAGTCTATCCTCATCATCCCAGGTGTTAGTCTATCCTCATATCCCAGGTGTTAGTCTATCCTCATATCCCAGGTGTTAGTCTATCCTCATATCCCAGGTGTTAGTCTATCCTCATGCCTCGTATCTCATCTCTTAGTTTATGCCCATATGCCTTGTAAGTGCTATAGTTACGGTGGTATAGTGCTTTCTAAGGTGATTGCACCTATATACCTCTGGGGTACTAATTCCCCGAGGAATAGATACCAATTAACCAAGGGTACCCATACCTCTTGGGGGTGGGGGGTAGAC